CTTTATGTGTATTGACTTAACTGTTTATATGAGTTTTGGGATTTATTTTATCTTATGTATGTATGTATGTATCTCCCAGGCCGGCTGAGTTTGGGGCATTCATGAGGCTTACATAATTTTTATAAATATAATAAATTCATAAGATACCTTTCAGATATGTTTGGGGAACTGAATAGGAGACTGAAAATGGGGAGTCAAGGCAGCCTTCTTTTGATTTTCTTGTATTGTAAGTTAATAGGCAGAAGGTTTAATTATAAATATGCTTTTTTTAAAAAAGGCCAGATGGTGGTGCACATCTTTAATCCCAGCACTCAGGAGTCAGAGGCAGGCAGATCTCTGAGTTCAAAGCCAGCCTGGTCTACAAAGGGAGTTCCCAGGGCATCCAGGACTATACAGAGAAACCCTGTCTCAGAAAACCAACCCCACCCTCCAGCCAAAAATTGTGTGTGGGGAGGGAGAAGGAAGGGAGAGAGTGTAACTGTGTAAATGCAGGCGTAGGCATAAATGTTCCACAAAACTTAGATGTAACTGTTGGATGTGTTTGTTGCCCATGATAAGCACTAAAATCCTAACTCGATTGTCATGGCTACTTTGAACTTTCTATCTCAGCTGTTTTTTGAAGCTACTTCTTTTAAATCAAAGCTTAAGTTCTTGAATGCTTTCCACCTGGGTTTCTCATTGCCCGTGTTCTTTTGATGTCTAACAGGTGGAAGTACTCGACTTCTCCTGCCAACGCCCCTTGGCACTGGGGATTTGTCGGTGTATACCGAGATGGAGGGTATATGTTCACATTATCAAAATCAAAATCTCACACCCAAACCAAACTCATTGACCTTCGACTCAACAGCTGGATCACAAGAGGGACCAGAGTTGTTTTTATTGATTTTTCCTTATACAATGCTAACATCAATCTATTTTGCATTGTCAGGTAAGTAGCTCAGAAGTTTTACCTTGGCAAACTGAATTTTAAAAAGACCAAAGCCTTCATTGGAGTTTGAAGTTTCTGCACACCTGTGCTGAGATTAAAGTCATAGCTTTAAGATAAATATGATGATCTCCTGCCAGTGGTGAAGAAGGGAATGAAGCAACGTCATGCTTATAGTTTCATTATTCAGGATATATTTAGGAACATGTGTCACATACAATGTGCTAGGTTTTATACTCTGTGTGCTCATGCACAGGTGTGCAGATCAGGACAGTTTGGGGGACTCTGTTTTCTCCTCCAGCAATGGGTTCTGGGAATCAAACTCAAGCAGTCAAGCTGTGTGACAAGTGCTTTGACCTATGGAGTCATCTTGCCACCAATACTTCAGTTTTATATGATGTGAGGGTATATAATCTTGCCATTTCTGTCATCCTGGAGTTATACACAGATCTGACATCATAAAGTCAAATTATTAAAATCTCTTGCTTTATGGGCAGGAGATAAGTCAGTTGGTAAAGTACTTGTCATTTGTCTTAAGGTTTCCATTGCTGTGATAAAAACACTAGGGGCAAAAACCAGCTTGGAGAGAAAGGGGTTTATCTGGCTTACACATAATGATCTTAGTCCATCATTGAGGCAGGAGCTGATGCAGAGACCATGGAAGGGTGCTGCTTACTGACTTGCTCCTCATGGCTTGCTCAACCTGCTTTCTTATAGCATCTAGGACCACCAGTCCAGGAGTGGCACCACCCACCATGGCCTGAGTCCTCCCAAAGGGCCAGCCTTAGGGAAGCATTATCTCTGCTGTGGTTCCTTCTTCTCAGTTAACTCTGGCTTGTGTCAAGTTGATAAACCAACAACAAAGAACCACTTTCCTTCCAGAAAGCCAGGATACTGTGCAAGCAGGAGGACCTGGTTGGGTCTTCAACACCTGTGTAAAAGCTGAATTCAGTGTTGGGCAGATGCTCTGAAGAGTAGCAAACAGTTCTTTCCATTACTGAGTCACCGCCTCTGAACCCAGGCCATGCAAATTGATAGAACTGAAGAGGTTCTGGAATCAAACACTAGGAAAGGAAGAGCACACAGTAATTGTACCCAGCTGAGAAGTGAATCTGCATTCCCCCAGTGAGGGGATGAGCAGATAACTCAACACAGTCAATAACTAAGCACAAACCCTTTCTGTTTTGAAGGAGGCATGGGAAATAGCTGCTAGAGAAACAGTCACCAAAAGTCTCTGTGAGCAACCTTTTTCCCATAGATCTCATACTCACCAAATGTCTTATATTCACTATATCTTATAATCAACATTTATCCAAATAGTTTATATTTAAATATTTAAATATAAATATTTAAAATGTATGAAAATGTAATATACAAAAATATTAACCAACTACTAAACACAGCCAATGAGCACATATATTTCACTTTGTGACTCTTTTCTCTCATACCATTCACTGGTCCCGGTACTCCAGGTCATCTGGGTACTCCCGCCATCCCAGTACTCCCGCTCGGGGTAAAGTGGGAAATATAATCATTTCTGGGTCCCAAACAAGCTGGAAGCACTGGGGCAGCCAGCTTAAGTCACATGAAGAGCTCTTTGTAATGATCCTAAACCCAGGTTTCTTGTCTTAATTTTACACTTATGCCATTAAACATTGAGAAATCAGATTTTCACAACACACTCCCACATTTGCACACACTTAACCTCAGAGTATGAAGCCTTGCCCTCATCAGACTCATTCAGCCCCTTAACTTTGGACTCCAAAATCATGGTCCAAAACAAATCACTTTTCATTACAACAGACAACAAACCCAGCAGACTATGAAACTGTTAACTACCAAGTCCTATCAGTAATTGAATCAAAGATTATCATCAGCATTGCTTCTTTTTGTTTTGTTGTTTTTGTTGTGTTTTTTTTTTTTCAAGACAGTGTTTCTCTGTAGCTCTGGCTGTCCTGGAACTGGCTCTGTAGACCAGGCTGGCATAGAACTCAGAGATCTGCCTCTGCCTGAGTGCTGGGATTAAAGGCGTGCACCACCACTGCCTGACTCAGCATAGCTTCTTTTAAACTTTTTCTACTTTTGGGACCACTTTCTGCCCAAAAAATTCCACTGGGAACATGGGTATATAAAATATATATACAAATTAAACATTAGTGGTAATAAATCATAAACTATGTAACAATAGGTCTTTAATCCATCTGCCCAAGTCCTGCCACCACATGGGTGCTTTCCACCAGCCACTCAAGTTCCACCCGCCACCACGTTATGGTCCCAAGTTACACACACACAGACTTATATTAGGTACAAATGCTGCTTGGCCAATGACTAGGCTTTCTCATATGCTAACTCAGTCTTAAGTATCAACCATAAATAGTTATCTTATCCAATGCCAACAACAGGCGTCTTCTCTTGCTGGGATCACATGGCGGCTCCACAGCAGAGAGCAAGAGAACAACTTCCTTCTTGTCCTTGATTATATATGAGTCTGCCTGCTATGTCACCTGCTTGGATCACAACACTTCTTTACTACATTTCCCAAAATCCTCCTTGACTCCTAGTCCTGCCTAACTTGCTTCTTCACTGGCCAACAATACTTTATCAACCAATAAGATAAACATATACACAGAAGGACTTGCCCCATCATCTCCTCTTTTCTGTCTAAATAAAAAGGGTAAGTTATCTTTTATAACTGAAGAAAACTATAACCATAACTGTCTTCAACTCCATCAAAGACCACAGAAGGATAATATATAAACTCTAGAATTGACAGAGACCTCTTGCTACCTGGACAGTCACCCAAAGTTCCTCTGTAACATTGGGGCATCCATCATCAGCCCATAGGCCACAGTGTGTCTGGCACACTTCTCCATTTCAGCAGGAACCCTTCAGGACTGCTCATCTTGTTTTGTAAGTTCAGCAGTCACTTTCTTGTGGGTTCTGCATGTCCAATTTATACAGCAACAAACAGTACAGGCAAGAGCAATTTCTTGCCCAACTGGCTAATCTTGCCATGTTGAAGGCAAACTCTATAATGAGTTTCTTTGATTCCCATCCTCCTTTCTGACATAATTGGTGTACCAGAAGCAGTTGTGTATCACTGTCAAGAAAAACCCTAAACCATTTACATGCCATATATTCTGTAGGTCTTTGAAAGGTTTAAATATCTATCCATCTCAAATACATCTCTGTATATCTAGAAAACCTAACTAACCTAACTGTAGGTTGTGACTATTATAGGTGACTATATAATCTGTATTTAATTATGCATTACATTTTAAAAGATCTGCATAAACACAATACCTAAACAAGATGAGTCCTATACATATCACAAAATTGACCTTAAAATTGTATCAATAAATGAAAATCCATACTAATGCGAAGTATTCATTCCTATATCCTATTTCCCCTTTTTCCTTTAAAAAAAGATTGACTGTGATCATTACCATTTGTAACCAACCCCATTTAAATGAAAACATTTATAAACAATGTTTGGGAATTTGGGTGTCTTTCATTCCAGACTGCTTCCTGCTGGTTGGGGGCGATGTCCATACCATGGGGATCATGACAAAACACAGAAATCTGGTCGTAGTCATCTATGGCTACATCATTTCAGCTGTTTTGGATGTAGGATCAATTGGGTCATTGCTTCAGGGGGTCTTGCTGTGTACACGTTGAGAGAAAAAGCCAAGAAAAGACAAATGACAATCCCTAATCTTTCCTCTATTCTGTATTACATCAATTGGCTTCTTGATATAATACAGAAACTCTGAAGTCTATTTTAACAACATGCTTGGATTTTAGAGGAGGAAAGTCAAATCTAGCTCTAAAGCCAGCATTGATTTAATTGAATAGGGACTAGGAAATAGAGATAGTTCTCTGAGAGACAGCTGTAAAGTTAACCATATGGCTCATTCCTTTTGTTTGATGGTTATAGCTACCTTCTCAAGTATCGACCCATGCAGTGACCTTTGACTTCTGGAGATGAGTTGTCCTGTGAAAAAAAAATGCAAAACACTTCCCTTTCCTTTGGGAGGTTTCTATACAGTTTATGAGATATACCTTGGTATGTCACCTATCATTCTTCCTCATCAAGAGGTTTTCAACTCGAATCTTGGTTAACTTTGATGGTATCCAAATTTTTCCTTCTCCTGTGGAAACAAATTCGAAACCCCTTCCCCAATGTAACACGTCCCGATTTCCATACAGAGGTCAGTACATCTTTGAAGTATACCGGCTGATTCAATTCGGCAGTTTTTTCCATAATCCAGTGTCTTTCTGCAGCTGTTTGTCCTTTCTCATTAGCATTAAGAAAGTTAAAGTGTTAATAATGCATTATGTAGCCTATGTTTGGGGGGGGTGATTGTTCCCCCAGCCTGTTTGTGGAGTATTTCTTTTAGTGTTCTATTAGATCTCTCTACCTCTGCTTGTCCTAGGATTGTATGGTATACCGGTGACATGCTTTATGTTATAACATTTGAAAAACTGTTCCAATTTAGTGGAGACATATGCTGGAGCATTGTCGGTTTTTATTTGTGCAGGTATACCCATAACATCCATCACCTCTAACCGATGTGTTATAACAGAATTGGCCTTTTCTGGGCTAAGAGCAGTAACCCATTGAAACCCTAAAAATGTATCTATAGTATGATGCACATATTTTAAATTTCCAAATTCTGCAAAGTGAAAGACATCCATCTTCCCAACCTCATTTCTCCAAATGCCCTTAGGATTACAGCCTGCTGGCAATGGAGCTTGATTATAAAAGGAACAGGTAGGACAGTTTCTCACTATGTCCTTGGCTTGTTGACAAGTGATGGAGAAGTCCTTTTTCAAACCTTTATTATTTACATAATGTTTCTTATGAAATTCTGAAGCTTCTAGCATGCTTCCTATTAATAAACAATCAATTTCATCATTGCCTTATGCTAGTGGGTCTGGCAGACCCGTATGGGGACTGATATGTGTAATATATATAGGATTAGTTCTGTTTCCAATTATTTCCTGTAGTTATATAAACAGTGAAGTTAATTCTGTATTATCAGGAACGAATTCTGCAGTCTCAATGTGTAAAACAACTCTCTCTGCATATTGAGAATCAGTAACTATATTAAGAGGCTTTATAAAATTCATAAGTACCATGAGAATTGCATATAATTCTGCCTTCTGTACAGAGGTATATGGACTTTGAACTACTTTACTTATCTCTCCTTATTTATAACCTGCCTTATCTGATTTGTTGGCATCAGTGTAGAAGGTAAGAACTCCAGAAATAGGAGTTTGTCTTACAATACATGGAAGGATCCAGATTATTGTTTTTATAAATTTAATTCTGTCAGTTTTGGGATAATTGTTGCTAATTGTTCCCAAAAAGTCAGTAAGAGCTATCTGCCAGTATTCATTGTCCTTCCATAAGGAGGAAATTTCCTCATCAGTTAAAGGTACTATAATTTCTGCTGGATCTTTTGCAGTCAGTTGACGAAGTCTTAATTTGCCCTTTAGAATCAAATCAGAAATCTTTTCTATATATGTCTTTAACTTTTTATTCTGTTTATGTGGCAGAAATATCCACTCCAATATATCTTCTTTCTGCATGAGAATCCCAGAAGGGTATTCTCTGGATGGTAATATGACCAGAATACAGTCTAGATTAGGGTCTACACGATCTACATGTGCATCCAGTATTCTGCTTTCCACCCATTGTAATTCTTTTTCTGCCTCAGCAGATAATATTCATGGACTGTTAAGGTCCTTATCACATTTAAGGGCCATTTTTAAATGCTTTAAGTCATGTCCTTCCACACCAATAATCGTCTGTAGTTGAGAAATTTCCCCTAGCAGCTTCTAAAGACTATTAAGAGTTTGATAACTATCCCTTCCAATTTGTACCTTTTGAGGTCTGATTCTTTGTAAGTCTATCTTGTAACCTAAATAATTAATAGAATCTCCTCTTTGTATCTTTTCTGGGTCAATCTGTAACCCCCAACTAGGCAGAACTTCCTTCATCATTTCAAACATACGTTCCAATGTTTCCTTATTAGAATCTGATAAAAGAATGTCATCCATGTAATGGTAAAGAAGGGATTGTGGAAATTTCTTACAAATTATTTCCAAAGGTTGCTGTACAAAGTGCTGGCACCAAGTAGGACTCTTTAGCATTCCTTGTAGCAAAACCTTCCACTGGAATCTCTTAACTGGCTGTTAATTAATAGTTGGTATGGTAAACGCAAATTTTTCTCTATCATTTTCTTGTAATGGTATTGTGAAAAAACAATCTTTCAGATCAATGACTATGATCAGCCATCCCTTAGGAATCAAGGAAGGTAACAGCATTCCAGGCTGCAGAGAGCCCATTGGCTGAATTACCTTATTGATGGCTCTCAGATCTGTCAGCATTCTCCACTGACCTGACTTCTTTTTTATAACAAATAAGGAGAATTTCAAGGGCTGGTAGATTCTTCTATATGCCCAGCCTCTAGCTGTTCCTGTACTAACTTTTGCCCCTTCTCCTCCCCAGACAGGTTCATCTTTAAGCCACTTTAAGGGTAGGGCCTTTGGTTCCTCTGAAGGTTTATCATTTGTACTTAGTTTCTGTACAGCCTGGATAGTTGGTAACTGTTTTCCATAGCGTCTTACCAATTTTTTTCTACCATCTAAAGATTGCATATAATTCGTATCTGATACTGGAGGAATATTAATCTGAGTATTCCATTGTTGTAACAGATCAGGACCCCAGAGATTTATTGCTATGTCTGTGACATATGGTTTTAGCCATCCTTTCTGTCCTTCTGGTCCAATGCAGACCACCGAGTTAACACTCTGTCAAATTCTAGATAGAGTTCCAATCCCTAAAAATTGTACATTCCCCTCTCTAAGAAGCCATCTCTGAGGCCAGGACTTTCGGGTAATAATAACTATGTCCTCTCCAATGTCCACCAAGCCAGTAATAACTTTATTATTAATTCTTACTTTCAACTGAGGCCGCTTATTAATAGGAATTTGCCAAAATATGCATTTATCATCTCCTGCAATTACATTTGATTCCTCATTACTAGCCAAACTACCATCTAGAGTAGTATCACTTTTTTCAATAGGCAATGTACCATCCTTCATATTGCACCTGTTCAGTTAAGACTGTACCTGAGACTCAGTGAATGAATAAAATAAGTCACTAGGGGAGCCATAAATGTCAGGAGTGAACTCATGTATGATCATGAAGTCACTTTTCCACCATGTTGATTGCATTTATATTAAGGGCATGCCCCAAGCCATGGCACATGTGTCAAGGACAGGGCAGTTTGTAGGAGTTCTCTTTCTACCATGTGTGGGCCAGAGGTTGAACTCAGATTGTCCGGCTTGGTGGCAAACCTGAGCCATCTTTCTAACTCATCACCGTGTTTCTGTCGTCAAGTTTCTATTGCTGTGATAAAAAGCTGTGACCAAAAGCAGATTGGGGAGGAAAGAGTTTACTTCGTCTTACACGTCCAACTGCAATTCATCATGAAGGGGAGCCCAAGCCGTCGCTGAGGCAGTGGCCGTGGAGGGTACTGATCCCTGGTGGGCACTCCTTGCTTTGCTCAGCCAGATGAAGAAAATGCCCTCCAGGCTTGCCTATCTCCTGATCTTACGGAGGCATTCTCTCAATTGAGGTTCCGTCCTCTCAGATGATTCTAGCTTGTGTTGCCTTGATGTAAAACTATCTAGCACATATACATTGACGATAACTCAGACTAATGTTGCTAATGTCACAATCTGTGACTTCCTTTAATTTAAGGGAAAATTCAGTTTGTATAAAGTTCAAAAGAAATTTCAGGGCCAACGAGAAGCACTGGGTGCCTGGGCTAATTTGTAAACCAAGGCTCAAATAAGGCTAAGGAGGGGAGGGCGTGGTTGGCTTCCTTTACTCTCGGAAGATGTGACTTAAGAATTGAGAGACCAGGAGTTCTGTTGGAAGATGCTTGCCGTCAGATGTCCCGTGTTAGCACTAGCCCCCTGCAGGTCTTACAAAGACATAATGCAGAGGGTGGCAAGATGAGTCAGGGAGTCAAGGCACTTGCCACCAGGGCTGACCACTGGAGTTCTGTCCCTGAGACCCACATGGTGGAAGGCAAGGAGAGAGTCTGGCAAGTTGTCCACCAACGTCCATTTGCACCAAGACATGATCACACTCACACTCGTTTATAAATGCAGAATGACTGGGTTTTGCCTTCTATAAAGGGCCTTCAAAACGCTAGAAGGGTTCCAGCTGAGGTTCTTTTCTGGACAAGTAGCTAAAGAAGCGTATGGGTCATGGATGGCATACTGAGGGCCCTCTGGGTCTCCACAGACTGACCGCCGTCACCAGCAAAGGGTCTCTTCCACACGGAGGCCCACTTGGTGGTTGGTACCCAGACGCTTGGTGACGTCACTGAGATTTCTGACTATGAAGTGAGAACCTCAAAAGAGCACACTGTAGTCCCAGGCTCTTTGCCTGTTTACATTTGACATTGTGGTGTTCACATGGCCTGGGAAGACAAAATGGCTAATGTGGGAATCCAGCAGAATTGCAAGCCTCCTCAGATAACAAGAAACCCACTGGCTTTGTCACTAAGAGCAATGACAGCGAAATCCAAAGGATAGAAAACACTTTAGTTCCCCTCAAATTTAGTGGGGGCTCAGCTGTTTGAACTTTGCATTGGCAATGCCCTGCCCTTAGTACAGGATGTGTGTCTGTGACTGCAGGCACCTGAGCCAACAAACTGGGGCTAAAGGCAAGTTTTGCTTGGGCAGAACTAGACCATAATGTGTTTGTCAAGCATGGGCTCCCTAAGCAACAGGATTAAAGGAATCAGGGCAGCCCAGGGAAGTGGTGCTTATCTGCCCAGTTCTCCCTGGGTCTCAGTGCACTTGGGAGCCACCCCAAATGGAAGGATTTTAATTGAACTTGTAAGCCCAAGGAAATATTCAAAACAAAACAAAACAAAAAATGGTCTTACTCCATAGCCCAGACTGACTATCCTCCTGCTACTGCCTCTGGGTTTCTGAAACCTGTTCCTTTTTTAAAGAAAAATTTAAAATTTGATATGTGTGGGTGTTGCCTGCATGTGCACCATTGTGTGTGTGGTACCCGCAGAGGCCAGAGGAGGATGTCAGAGCTTCTGGAGTCAGAGTGAGTTGGGAGCCCACATGTAGAAGTGGGGAATTGAACCCAGGTCCTCTGGGAGAGCAGGAAGTGCTCTTAACTGCTGAGCCATCTCTTCAGCCCCCAAGGAAACACATTTTGTACAAAACCAGTGACTAGCATTGAGGTATATGTCATTATTGATTTAGAAGTTGCACAGCAACTTAAAAAATGGAAATGCTTATGCAAACTTCATTTTCTAGGCTGGTAGCAGAGTTCCCTGCGACAGGCGGGCTCCTCACCTCGTGGCAGTTCTACTCTGTGAAACTCCTCAGATATGTTACCCACTATGATTACTTCATTGCATCCTGTGAAATCATATTTTGTATTTTTCTGTTTGTCTTCATAACACAAGAACTGAGAAAGCTGAATGAGCTTAAGTCTGCCTATTTCAAAAGTATTTGGAACTGGCTAGAGATGCTACTTTTGGCGGTGAGTACATAGTCAAAGGTCTGATTTGAGGGGATCTCATCTGCACCTGCCAGCTGGAGACGTGTAAAACACAGGATTTTCTATTCATCCAAGACTTGTTTCAAAAGCTACAAGTATCAAATATAAAATGAACTGTCATAGGGCAGTCCTGGAGAGGGCCAGCAAGAGCCTAGAGGCTTCCATAAGAAATCTCTCTGTGTCTCTGTCTCTCTGTCTCTGTCTCTGTCTCTGTGTCTGTCTGCTCTCTCTCTCTCTCTCTCTCTCTCTCTCTCTCTCTCTCTCTCTCTCTCTCTCTCTCTCGATGTTGTAGTCCTGGCTGTCCCTGAATGTGCTATGTAGACTAAGGCTGGCCTTGAATTTACCGAGATCTGCCATGCTTCTGCCTCTTGGGTGCTGGAGTTGAAAGAGTGTGCTGGTGTTGTGACTCAGTACACATAAGAGGTCTTGATAGCCACACTCCCAAACTGTATTTGTGTGAGGCTTAGCAGAGAGTGCTTATAACCCCAACTGCTTGAGAGCCTGAGGTAGGAGGCTCCAGAAGCTCAAGACCAGCCTGGGCAACATATGGAGGCCAGATCTAAAATTTAAAATAAGAAAATGACCTAGGCAGACAGCTCAGTGGGTAAGAGTGCTTGTTGCGCATATGTGAACCCCAGCAGCCATGTAAAGAAGCCGGGAGTGGCCATGCACACCTGTAACCCCAACGCCATGAGGAGGCAGAAGCAGGAGGCTTGCTGAGCCCTGCTGTCAGCTCCAAATTCAGGGAAAGACTCTACTTCAGGGGAATACGGAAGAGTGTGACAGAGTGGAACACACCCCACATCCTCTGTTGGCCTCTGCTCACACACACAGGTGTATACATCCGCACGTACATATGCGCACACCACACACCAAAGAGAAAAAAGTGCCCCACCTACCTTTCTAGTATCTCTAGTGTCTAACAAAGGGAAGAACACTGAACGTTATATTTGTGTTTCTGTCAAAGGAAAAATTTCAAGCAATTATAAATTCTCGATGCTTCCCATTAACCTAAATCTAAAGTCTTCATTCAAAGAGCTTGGTATAGCACTCTAAGTAGGTTCTGTTAGTATTCAGGCATCTGTATTGGCCTGTCCTTGGGGTTCTGACAGGATATGCCCTCAGCTGCAGCCACCTGTGCGCATTCACTACGTTCCCTTTTAAAAGGGCCCTGCCCACCTCCCATCCTTCTCTCTTTCTTTCTCCCTCTGTGTGTTCCTCTCTCTCCCTCCCTCCTCTCTCTCTCTCCTCTTTTCCTCTCTCCTGCTGCTCCTGTCTCTTCTGGAGGCTGGTTCCCTCCTCCCTTTTCCCCCTTTTTTGGTCTCTTTCCCTAACAAAAAACGCCTCTCATGGCATTTTTCTCTCTTGCACAGCTTTTCTTAAATTACAACAGGTCTATTTATGTCGATTTGCAAGTTTTTGTTGTTTTGTTTTAGTATTCCACAGTAGGAAAGACTAAGCTTTTGGGTTAGGTGACACAGAAGCCCCCAGACCACAGAGTGACAGGAAGACAGGTTAGGATGGCCAGGAAGTAGTGTCTCTTTTCATGAGACATAGTGACACTATTTTTAGTGCAAGTTGAACTACTTCCATTTCTGTAATAGCTGTGTTCTGCATGGGCTATCACCCTGCCAAGCAGAGAAAAAGTCGACCAAGACCATATCTGGAAGGCCAAGGCAAGGCATTTTCCTACTCAGCAAGCTGAGCTACAGTTTCCTGCCAGCTATATCCAGACCCAGAAGGTGGGAGGATGGGCACCTGCCTCTGCCTAAAAGGCTTCTTCATCTCCAAGTAAAGCCTGCTGTCACTCTGTCACTGCCCCGTGTTGCTTGCAGCCTGTCTTGGTGTAGAGGTGGATTCCCCACTATCAAGGCTTCGGTAGCTGGAGACAATGTGACCTCACACCTACAAGTCATGGAATGGAAGGAAAGGGACAGCAGAAAACTGATGATAGGGGCTGCTAAGCATGCTGCCTGCTACCCAGTTGTGCTGTAACTGGAACAGCAGACAAAGGGGATGCATGAAATATAAAAGCAGTTCAGTGTGGAAACACAGATAACTGCAGTAGACTTGATGAGAGGTAGTGTATGTTCTTGGACTTTTGGTCAAGTCCCTTTCCGAGTAGTCCCAGGCATGTGGTGACTGGCAGGTGTCTCCCTGTGTTTTGTACAGAAGTAGACTTGGTAAGTCACTTTTCACAACATTACTTTAAAAGCCTATATCCTATCTTTCCCTCCCCTTTTATTAAGCATTTAATGAACTTTGTCATGTGTTTTCCTCAAAGGCTGGGAAACATTTAGAGACAGAGATAGTCTCCAATTTAACCTTTGTTATTTTTCCCTTTAGCTCTGTTTTCTGGCTGTCTCTTTCTATGCATATTGTCACATGCAGAATTTTCTCTTACTCGAACGGCTGTTGAAAAACACTGAAAACTACCCGAACTTCTATTTCCTCGCATACTGGCACATTTACTATAACAATATAATCGCTATTACTATTTTCTTTGCATGGATAAAGGTATTTATATCTCATTTATTACATAGTCCAATAGCATATTGTATTAGTTAAACTATTACCTTGTATGGAGGGGAAGCATTTCCCCCACTAGTAAGGGAATTTTTGTTTTGTTGTTGTTGTTGTTTTTAAGATAGGGTTTCACTGTGTAGTTTTGAGTGTCCTGGGATTCACTCTGTAGACAGACCTGGCCTCGAACTCAGAGATCCACCTGCCTCTGCCTCCCGAGTGCGGAGATTAAAGGTGTGTACTGCCACTGCCCGGCAGTAAGTCATTTTTGCAGGCAATTTGGCACACCAAGTGAACGTACTTGCCCAAGCTTGGTGACCTGAGTTTGACTCTTGGGAAAGAGAACCTGTTCCCACAAGTTGTCCTCATGTGCTCTGTGTTATACTTTCCCCACAACCTCCCACCACCTATACAAATCCAAACAAGTAATTGAAGTATTAACTTGACTTTTAAACGATCACTAACATCTTCAAACATCCTTGATTACCGTTGTCTCCTTTTAAAAGGAAGATTTATTTATTATGTATATAGTGTTCTGCCTGCAGGCCATAAGAGGGCACCAGATCTCATTATAGATGGTTGTGAGCCACCATGTGGTTGCTGGGAATTAAACCCACGTCCTCTGGAAGAACAGCCAACGCTCTTAGCCTCTGAGACATCTCTCCAGCCCCATTGTCCCCTTTTACTTGAATTCTTCTGAAATGAATTTTTCTGATTCTAAACAGCTCTGTTTGAACATATTGACTCTTGTACCATATCTCTTTCAGATATTCAAATTCATAAGCTTCAACGAGACCATGTCTCAGCTGTCATCAACCTTGTCCCGCTGCATGAAGGACATAGTGGGGTTCGCCATCATGTTCTTTATCATATTCTCTGCGTATGCCCAGCTGGGGTTCCTTGTATTTGGGTCACAGGTTGATGACTTTTCCACTTTTCAAAATTCCATGTAAGCTCTTAGTACAAGTGTCTTTACGTTTTCTAACTGGGAAACTGTCAAAGAAGTTCTTAATTGGTCTAGATAATAAATAAATAGAGGGAAATGCTGAGATATCAGCGAGGAGGAGGAAGCCACACCACACCTTACCTCCAGCAAGAGCGATTTCCTGTTTCTCCCTGCTTATATCCTGTTTCTGCCCAGCTATGTCACTTGTCTGTCTGCACAGACCTCCAGACCTCTATGGTTAGCCAGTGGTAAACTCCATTCTCTGCCCCCCCCCCAGACAGGCTTTATTTGTGCAAGAAAGGTATCACCACAGGAAACCACAGCAAGTAGTAAATGGTTCATTTAAAGCTTGGTCCTATTGTTCACTTAAGGCTAAATATCCACCATACTCAAAATGAAGTCTGCCACTGGACTATCAAAGTAGATGGTGGTATCTGTTTTTTTAATCATTGTTAGGTCAAGTTAGGAAGATAATTTCTCACCGGCAGTGAGAATATGTAATATAAGTGGGTGCAGTGTTTGCGCAGCATTTGCCCTCTGAGCAGAGAAAATGTGTGCTTTCCACAGTGGCTTCATCTCTAGAAGCATTTTCCCTGTTAACTGACCACGTGCCAGACTTGTGCTTCATGGTAGCGTTCTAAAGCCAGGTGTGGTGGCGCATGCCAGTAACCAGTGCTCAGCCAGCAAGAGCAGAAGGATTTGAGCTGAGGCCAACCTGAGCAATATTACAAGACTCTGTTTCAAAAATACAAAAACATCTAAATTTTTAATACATAAAAATAGTTTCATAAAGGGAAGTTATGGGGACACACCTGTATTCACAGGACTCAAGAGACTAAGGCAAGCCAGGCAGTGGTGGCGCACACCTTTAATCCCAGTACTTGTAGGGGCAAAGGCAGGTGGATCTCTGTGAGTTCAAAAGCCAGCCTTATCTACAAAGTGGGTTCCAGAGAAACCCTGTCTCGAAAAATTTAAAAGGGAAATAAAGAAAAGCAGAGACTGCGGCAGGAGGATCACAAGTTCAGGGCCAGCCTAGGTGGTAGGCCCAGGATAAAAGAAAAAAAATCTGTGTGCACAAAGCAATCAGGAACAGGTGACAAACCTATAGAAGTAAACAGATAGGTGCCTTACAAAAATGTCCAAGCTCTTCTTTAAAATGAAACATTTCATGGATTCACTCATTTGAGGGCTGGGGATACAGCTCGGTTGATAGAATGCTCACCTGACACAAAACAAAATGCTAGGTCCAGGTCCAGTCCCTAGCATCACATGTACCTGGTGTGGTGGTGCACACTGGTAATCCCAACACTGGGGAAGCAGATACAGGAAGAAGGAGTTCAAGGTGCACTTACATAGCAGGTTTTAAGTTAGACTGGTATACACGAGACGGTGGTTTTTGAGATAGGATCTGACACCACACCCCTGGCTGACCTCAAGCTCACAGCAATGCCCCTGCCTTAGCCTTCTGCATGCCTTAGCCTTAGATTTATAGGGACAAGCCACAGTTTATCCGTCTCCTTTTGAGTAGATAGAATGACTTCTGTCTGCATGAGAAAATGATAATTTCGGTGGACTCCTTCTCCTGGACAGGAACAGAAAAGTGCTAACACACCACCTCTACCCTTCACAGTTGATGAAACTCCTCTCTTCCGCCTTTACATCTTTTATTCATGTATTCCATACGTGAGACAAAAGTAATACTGTTTTTCTGTTTGTGGCTGTCCGCTTCCTCCATCCACTTTCCTTGTGGCTCTGTAATACCCCAATGTATGGTGGGGACAGGAAAAAGACAGGCCATTTACCGTCTCCTTCGCTACATGATCAGCTATTGGAGTACCTCTAGTCTTTACTCCTTGTGTTCGTGTGCTGTGCACATGATTTGCATAGGCTCCTGCATACCTGTGTGCAGGCAAACATACAGGCGGAGGCCAGAGGGTAGCAACAGGTGCTTCCTGGATCTCTCTCCACTTTGTTTCTGAATTGGTGTGGGGGCGGGGTGGGGGTGGAGTTATACATGTACAGGTCAGAGGACAACATGTGGAGTCTTATTTTCTCAGGCTTGGTGGTAAGCACCCTTACCTGCTAAGTCATTTCCACCCCTCAGTTTTTATTTTTTGAGACAGGGTCTGTCTGTCACTGAACCTGGTGCTCGCTTGTTGGCAGCCAGTGAGTCCACCCATTTCTGTCCCCATTCCCAGCACCCCAGCACCGGGATTACAGACATGCACCTCCATGCTCAGCTTGGGACCCAAGCTCAGGTTTTCATGCCTGCATGGCAGGCCCTTTCCCAGCTGAACCACCTGGGCAGCCCCACCTTTGGGAGAGCGTGCCATGTAGCCTACAAAGTCCTAAAATTTGCTATATGTAACAAAGGCTGACACTGAAGTCCTGATCTCCTGTCTCAGTCCCCCATGTGTTGGGATTGTAAGCATGTTCTATCATGCTCTGTCTGATCTTAAGACGCTGTGGCAGCATAGTTAAAGCCAGAGAGGAGGAGCTGGGTTGTGGCTCAGTGGTAAAGCATTTAGCCTAGCATGCATGAGGTCTAGTGTTCAGTCCCCAGCACTGAAAAAAAAACAAAGAGCATGTGGCTTATACAGCCAGAGACATTAGCAACTCCAAGTCGTCATGTATCTAAATGAAGAAATGGAACATTTTCTAATGCTTTTCTTTCTTCCCATCAAAGCTTTGCACAATTTCGGATTGTCCTTGGAGACTTTAACTTTGCTGGCATCCAGCAAGCCAACTGGATCTTGGGGCCCATTTACTTCATCACATTCATCTTTTTTGTGTTCTTCGTACTGCTGGTGAGAATGACTGTCATCCTTTTTTCTTCATCACAGACTAGTCACAAAGTTGTGGCATTGTACACTTGGTCCCAGCTAGTGGTGCTATTTGGGGAGATTTAGGTTGTGTGGACTTGCTGGAAGAAGGCTTGCGACTCTTCCTCAGCTTTCCAAGTCGCCAAACTATAGGCACTTGCTGCAGCACTCAGCTTTAAAAGTCACTTCTGTGTTTGTGTGCATGGGTGTGTGTATGGTGTGTGTGTGTGTGGTGTGTGTGTGTGTGTGGTGTGTGTGTGTGTGTGGTGTGTGTGTGTGTGTGTGTGTGTGTGTGTGTGTGTGTGTTGGGATGCCGGGGATCAAACTGAGGACATTTTAGACACTGAACTATATGCCTACCCCTAAGTAAATTTTTATTGAAAGAATGATTTGAATGTTTCTCCCCAGAACATGTTCTTGGCGATAATTAACGACACCTATTCTGAAGTGAAGGCTGACTATGCAATAGGCAGAAGACCTGATTTTGAACTTGGTAAAATAATTAAGAAGGTTAGTTAACTTTCTCTCCTAAATATAATTCTAAAACAAACAAACAAAAAAAACCTCTATCACTTAAGCCCTCTGTAAGGCATGAGACACATGCCCTCCAGGTCTTTTTGTTGTTGTATGAGAAAGGGTTTCATGTCTCACAAGCTGGCCCCAAGCTCACTATGCAGCCAAGAATAGTGTTATGATCCTCCTGCCTCTGTCTCCTGGGTGCAAGGATTACAGGCATGCACCACCATGCCCAGTTGATGCATTGCTTGGATGGAACCTGGGCTTCATACATGCAAGACAAGCATTCATCAACTGAGCTACATCCGCAGCCCCTCTGGCATCAACAATTTAGCCAGAATTATTTCAGAGTTTCGAATTCTAAATACTGAATACAAACAAATAACTGTCAGGTGATAAATGGAAACTATTTTGATGTTCCCAAGAGCTTGTCAAGTTAGATACTAGCAAATTTCTACAACCAAACTCAACGTTTGTGTTCCTTGTCTTCCTCGCTCTCTTTCTTACATGGCAATGTTATTCAGTCTCTCCTGGCTCAAACATTGGACTTTCTGTCCTGTTGGCTCTCTGATAGTCTGTTCTCAAGGCTTGGAATTTCTTTCCACATGCAGGTCTTGCTCACACTTGTAGAATCTCAAGGACCCTTTAAATTCTGACACCAAGAGATGAGGGTTTCATTCCCCATACGATAATATCCTCTTACATATTCTAGCTTGACCCCAGGCCATTCCACTTTGAGTCTAGCAGATTGCCTGGGCCTATCAAATTAAGCCCCATTTCTTTACTCAGCTCTCCCAACCTGCCTTCAATTATCATGAGCTAGAGTTTGTACTTTTCCTTCCTCTGTATTCAGAGTGCTTGGTTTTTGCTTGTTGTTTGCTTTTGGCCTTCTGGGGCATGGTCTCACTATGCACCTCTGCCTGATACTTGATGTGTGGACCAGGCTGGCCTTGAATGAACTGCAGTGCTACCTGTGCCTCCAGAGGGCTGCTAAACTGAGTACTGTCTGTGTAACACACACACTCACTCTGCCTTTTGCTCAGACCATTTCCTACCCCTGACATGTCCTCACAGCTGTTCCTAAGGTTCTGTTCTGGACAATAGAATCTTCCCTGTCCTTTTGACATCTGGCTCATTTTGAGTCAAGAGTCTTTCTTACCTTGTTATGGTTTCGATTGCTGTGATAAAAATACACTGCCTACAGCTTGTAGTCTATCATCCAAGGATATCAGAACAGGAACTGAAGCAGGGGCCCACAGAGGAGTGATACTTTTAATGGCACACTCAGCCTGATTTCTTTTACCATCCCCAGTCAGGGACCCCAGCAGGCTGGGCCCTTCCTATTAACCATTAATCAGGAAAATGCCCCACAGATTCCAACATGGTAGGGGTATTTTCTCAACTGAGGTTCCCTCTTTTCAAATGACTCTAGCTTTATGCCAAGTTGACAGAACTAGCCAGCACTCCTGAGAAGCCTGTACACGCTGGCAGTTCCAGAGTGCTTCCCAGAGGTTAGTAGCTGTGTCTGAGAGCTTGTCTGTAAGACAATGCTGTTAAGATGACCTCCCCACAGTGAGCTCAACTGTGGGGTTTTTATCTTGGATATCTTGAGTGTGATGTTGGTTGTACACGGTAAAAGTGCTAACATACTTAAAACAGTCC